GCGTATCCGCAGCTTCCCGGACTTCCCCACGCCGGGCGTGCTGTTCAGGTGCGCGCGGGCGGGCCACGCGGGGCAGGGCACCCGAGGGCCCCGCTGGGCGTTGGGCCCCGCTGGCCTGGGCCCTTGTCCCGCGCGGAGAGTGGGGCGGTCAGGGTGCCCTTGGGCTCTGCCCCAGGGAGCCGTCACCCCCACGCCAGGACCCAGCCCCGGGGTCACCAGGCCTGTGCTTGTGCGCCAGGGACATCTCGCCCCTCCTGAAGGACCCCGACTCCTTCCGCGCCTCCATCAGCCTCCTGGCGAGCCACCTGAAGAAGACCCACGGCCGCAAGATCGACTTCATCGCGGGCAAGTGGGGGGTCGGGATCGGGAGAGGGAGGGGTCACTAAGTCCGGGCCGTGCCCGGGGCGCTGGTCGTGTGGGATTCCTTTTTCCTGAGTCAGGCTGAGGGAGGGAAGGCCCGACGGCTCCACCTCTGCTTGGGGGAGGTCCTCCGGGGTGGGGCCCCTCAGGAGATCTGCCCGAACGGTGCCTGGTTGATAACTCTAGCGTGGGCTGTGGGGATGGACCCACTACCCCCTACTTTGCAGCCTTGAGAGGACTGCCTGGGGAATGGCTTCTGCTGGGTGGCTACCCCCTTGCGGGCTACAGGGCTGAGCGCAGCTCACTCCCACCCAGTTCCCGTCTCCAGCGCTGGGGACTTTCCCCAGGGAGTGTCTGACCAGGTTCCAGAGAGTCAGGCGAGCTTTCTTGTTCCCCTTCTACAAGCCTGCTTTGAGCACCCGCTATGCCCCGCCCTTGACCCAGGGTGGGGCTTCCAGAAGGCCTGCGGAGATCAGGGAGGACCCCCCTGACCCTCCCATTTATCCCCTCTGTCTGAAGGGCACAGCAGTGCTGTTCCCCTCTTCAGCTGGGACTGACCCCTTAGAGGGTTCTTTAGGAAGCCCTCCCTCACCACACTTCCTGTCACATCTCAGTACACTGCAAGAGATGGCCTGTCGCTGCCTCTCCTGGAGAAGTTCCTGGGGGCAGACACTGCTTTTAGAGTCCTGTGCTTAACATGTTGCACAGTTACTACCAGCTCAGTTAGCTATACAGCTGAGCTTTGGAAAGAGGTCAGGTGACTTCCCCAGGGCCATCCACTTCTTTACTCCACCAAGTAGAATGGACTTAGTACCTTGCCCCAGCAGCCAGCAGTCTCTGTGCATGGTAGGTCAACATTCCCTAAATGGATGTCATTGGCCTTTTAGGTGGCACCAACAAAGCCAGGCACCATGTGTCATTGTAGTGACTACTTGTCATTATCCAGCCCTCATCTGTGGGATCCCCAATGCTGTCTCCCAACACCCCAGCTCTCACCAACAGGCCTAGACTCTCGAGGCTTTCTGTTTGGCCCCTCCCTGGCCCAGGAACTTGGCTTGGGCTGTGTGCTCATCCGAAAGCGTGGAAAGCTGCCAGGCCCCACCGTGTCCACCTCCTACACACTGGAATATGGGAAGGTAAGAGGTCTGGGGGCTTCTCCCATGGACCCCAAAGGAAAAGTAGAATCAAATAGAGCTGCCATTGTTGGAGCAGACATGGGAGCTCAGAGAGGCTGAGACGCTGGGCCAGGCTCACAAAGCCAGGCAACAGCAGGGAGGGTTGAAACCGGGGCTCAGGTGGTAGCCCCTCGTCAGCTCCTGGGCTCTGCACACCAAGGCGGTCTTCAGAGATGTGCCAACCACACACCTGCTTCCTCCCATCCACAGGCTGACCTGGAAATCCAAAGAGACGCCCTGGAGCCAGGGCAAAAGGTGGTAGTCGTGGACGATCTGCTGGCCACTGGTGGTAAGGGTCTCTCCCAAGCAAAGACGGCTTGGTATTGGGGAGTTTGTGGGAGTGGAAGTGCCTTGCTATGTGTGTGAAAAGTGGACTAGTCCTCAACACTAGTTATCTCCTTGCCAGATGGGAGCCCTGTTGCAATGCCAACTCCTTCCTCCCCCAACCTCTGGGTGGCCCAGCCTGCATGGGGGCCTCACTCTGCTCCTCCCCCCACCCCTTCCACCAGGAACCATGCGAGCAGCCTGTGAGCTGCTGGGCCAGCTACAGGCTGAGGTGCTGGAATGCGTGAGCTTGGTGGAGCTGACTTCACTGAAGGGCAGGGAGAAGCTGGGGGCTGTGCCCTTTTTCTCGCTTCTGCAGTATGAGTGACCTCAACACCCTGACCCACACCAGCTAGAAAAGGAGAGGTCCAGCCTCTGTCACTACAATGGCCTCCACTGGCTGCCAAGGGTACTCGCTGCCCACCTGGACTTTTTTATACATTCCTGTGGTTGAGTGACTATATCCAGCACCCAGGGACTGTCCTGCAGCTTCTGGAAGTGCAAAGGCCTGAAGCCACAGCCCAGGGCAAAGCCAAGCCAAAGCTGCTCAGGTTTTTATAGTGAAATTATAAGAACATGAATAATCAACTTTGCTAGAGTGTTTCTTCAGGTGCCCAGGGTGGGATCTGGGCCTCAGGACCAAGAGGTGGGGGAGGTGCTGGGGCCAGTTGGTCTGGGTGTATGCGTGTGCATGCCGCCTTCAGAGCTTTTGTGGCAATTTGTGGTTCTCTTTTCTGGTGGGGGAGCAGACCAACTTAGGAAGCAGATGCTGCTCAAATTGGTATGGTTTCCCATTGCTGCTGCATCAGAAGACACAAACTTGGTGGTTTAAAACTTTATCTTACAGTTGTCCCTCTGTGTCCACGGGGGTTTCATCCCAAGACCACCTCCCCAAGACCAATATACGAAGATGCTCAAGTCCCTCACATGAACTGGCACATTGTTTACATATAACTTCTGCACATCCTCTGATATACTTTAAGTTACTTGTAGGTTGTTTATAATACCTAATACTATGGAAGTCATGTTACACTGTACTGTTCAGGGAATAATTACTAGTCTGTATATGTTCAGTACAAAGCAACCATCCTGGGGCCAACTATGTAGTACACATTAACAATGTAACTTTCTCTTTTTGCTTGGTCAGTTGAGTGGCATATAGAGAGCCAACTATTCTAAAAACCAAGGTGTAGACAGACAGGGCTGGTTTCTCCACTCCTTGGCTCATTGCCCTACCTCCATCTTCAAAGCCAATGGTGTACCATCATCCAACCTCTGCTGTGATGACACTGGGCCCACCAGGATAATATAGGATCAGGTCTCAAGATCCCTATTGTGGGGGGAGGTTGTTCTGCCAACAACACTGCCCAAACCCATGCTGGCAGGAAAGCCACCCTACCCACACACACCTGCACTCTGTGCAGCAGAGACACATCTAAGAGAAACCAGTTTAATAACATGCTGTATGAGGTGGGTGTACCACCCACAATGGTCAGAGAATTCCCCCCCAGGTCCTGCCTGCAGCCAGAGCCTAGTGCAGCCACTGACACTTGCGGGGAGCCTGGAACAGAAGAGCAAAGTGCATTGTGTTCTTAGAGAATAAAACAGGCACCGTGGACCAGGCTGGGGCCTTGAGCCCACGTTTGCATGTTGGTGTGCAGCCACAGGCTCACAGCACCTCCTCAGCACGAGCAAGGCGGGCCAGCTGTGCAGTGACACCTGCCAGGTCAGCAGCCTTGTCCAGCTTGACATAGGTGTCAGTACGAATGCGGTGGAGGCTGAGCCAGTCGGGCAGCAGCTCAGAGAGGAGCTGCACGTGTTTCTCCATCTCCCCTGCAGAGAGAGGGGCCTCATGAGGTGGGGGCCTGCCCCCCCAAGACCTCTGGGACTGTATGCACATCTATAAGGGGGTGCTGCTCTCACCTTAGTCCTGTCAACAAGCCTTCCTTAGTTTCAGCCCCTGCTCTCCCCTCCCAGCCCCCCACTCCAGGGTGGACAAGTCTATGTACCCAGAAGCAAAGGAGTAAACTGACAGGACAGAAGGACTGCCCTGGGGACCAGGGCAGTGACTGCAGCCTTCCCAAGGGGGTGGCTCTCCCACTGAGCCTGTCACAAGTCCCAGCCCTCAAAGAGCCTGAAGCAGAGGTGCCCTGCAGCTTTGTGGGACCAGAAGCCTCCTGGAGGGGGTGGTCCCATGGGACCTCAAGGGCAACTTAAGGGCAAATGCCAGGTTTGTGAGAGGGAGACAGCCTCAAGACACTGCAGGGTTAAATGAACCAAGGGGAGACAGGTGACCTAAATGGTGCTATGCCCACCCAATGCACATAAGCAGGTGTGGAGAATGGTACAGATTTATGGTGCTCACCCTCATCTAGGACTCGAGAACATGGGGAGTGGCCCCTGCCCCTACACGCACCTGGGCTCATGGTCATGCGGTAGCTGCCCACCATCCTGGCACAGGCTACCTCCATGGTGAGCGCTGGCTTGCGCTCGGACACAAAGATGCTACGCAATACCCGGGCCAGCTCAGGCAGCCGCTCAAGCCGCTGCAACCTCTGCTCCTGCTCTGGGCGCCGCATCATCTGTGCCAGCTGCTTCTGCACCTCCTTGGCCCGGATCTGCACTGGGCATGGGGAGTGGTCAGTGGACAGCTGGCTCCACTCCACCCCATCCCTGAATCCCAAACACTCACCCTCTCCAACAGGTCCTGGGACACCCCCTTCAGGGGAGCAGGTGGAGTGGCCGGAGGGGTAGCTGGCAGTACCAGGTTGGAGGATCCAGGGCTGCTGGGCTCAGCTGTGCGCAGGGCCAAGTCACTGAGGGCCTTCTCCATCTGCAGCAGGTCAGGGAGAGGTCAGGAGAAGTCTCTCCTGGACCAGCCATAGGGTAGGCCCTTCACACCCCTCTTGCATGGACTCCTTGCCCAAGAGGCCTTGTATGTCCCGTCCAAGTTCACCCCAGCACATCAGAGGCCTGTGCTGGGCACCCCTAGGTAGAGCCTGCCTATGGGCAGCACTCTAAACACAGGAAGGGCACATCCCACTACCCCCGAGGCCCACAGCCACGTGTAGAGTTTGTCAGGTGCCCACGTGGGGGTCAGGCTACCCTTCCCTGGGAGACGGGGGCCAGCCTCACCCTGGGTGACATCAGACTTCGGGCTCGGGCCAGCACCTCCTGAGCAGTGGCCAGCTTCTCTGTGGTGGGCGGCTGGGGCAGCTCGGCAGGCTCGATGTCAGGCACTTCGTCCACGTTGAAGCGGGGGTGCCAGCGTGTCAGCCGGTCCTCGGGCACCACCATGGGAGGATTCAGGGAGGCCAGGAAGACCTGTCCAACAACGGGGTACCAGATGACCCTGGGCACATCTGGCTGGGGTGCAGCAGGGCTATCCAGGTTCCCATCCCAGCTGGGTACCCTCAGGCACAAGTAGGGGACCCATCAGCAGCCACTGTAGTCATCACAACCTTCCAAGTCTTGAAGATGCATCCCTGAGCTCCCCAATCCTGTGTTTAGGGCAAAACTCCCTCACCTGGGAACCAGGGCCAGGATCCCCATGCAGCCCCTGCCCACCCCCCCCATCCATATGAGGCTATGACCCAGCTTTGGTGAGTGGTTTAAGAGAACTCTAGAACAGTCTCTCAAGAGGGCCTGATTCCTGCTGGGTAAGACGAGGCTGTAAGAACAAGCACTGAGAGAGGGAACAGAGCACAAGGCACAGCACAGAGGAGGCACCTCATACAAAAACTGAGCTAGTCATCTTGGGGTCACCAGCTCACCCTATGATGCTCCCGGACACGCTCCACCAAGTTCTGGCTGAAGACCTGTCGCCGCTGCAGGAGGCGGGAGGCTGTGAGCTGGGGGGGCGTGTTGCCAACCTCTGCAGGGAGAGTCCAAGCCTAAGCCCCTGGGTCAGAACTACCCAGTTGCCAAGCCCCACACCACGGGTCTCAGACAACGGACCCAGCACCCTACAGCTCACAGCCATGCTCAAAACTGCAGGGTCACAGGTAGGGAAACCAAGGCTCAGAGACAAGTGGACTCAGCCACAGCACACTCACCCTGGTCCAACAGCGGCTCGATGGTGAGCTGGTAATCAGACCTCTTGACATCATCCTTGAAGGTGGGGACGTTGCGCTCCTGGCGGAAGCAGTAGGAGGTGGGATACACGGTTTTGATCTGGCCCACGTTGCGCTCCTCAAAGCGCCTATGGGATGAGGATGCCAGGGCTCAGTCAGTCAGCCTCCACTATAGGATGAAGCCCCCAACCCTCCAAGGAACCCCACTCACTTGCGCATCATGTCCTGGACGCCCTGCTTGACCTTGGCAAAGGTCACAGTCTCTGAGCGGTTGTAGAGCATGCCCACGATGGTGTCCATGCTGCGGAACATCTCGGCCAACACCTGGTACTTGTAGGGCAGCACAAGGCCAGGAGGCCCTGGCTCAGCCAGGGCATGGAAGCGCTGATAGGCAGGTGCCTTCTCTTCACTGCTAGGGGAGGAGCCAGGCCTTGAGAGAAGCACCAGACCCACACCCTCTCTAGGACCCCATGGCTTGCAAAGCAGCCAGGGATATCCCAGAGCTGGGGCTTGCAAAATTGCCCCCATGACACACTGCACACCAGTTTACAAATTCCTTGTATGCCCAGCTCCCCATCACAAGCATTATCAGGAGACAAAAGGGTGGCTTCAAACCCAGCTCCATCATGTCCTGCCCCATCACCCAGGGGGGGTCCCTGGACACCCCCAGCCCTGGTTTTCTTATCTCTAAGAGGCACTTGACCACCACAGAACCTAGAGAGAACAAATATGAGAACAGGGAGCAAATACCCAATAGCCACTGGTTGTGAATATCATTTGAAATTCATAAGGGCCCACTGAGGCAGGAATTGGCACCCTCTTACAAATGAAGCAGGGTGAAGGGCTAGTGTTGGCACTGAAATCTGAGTGGCCTATTGACTGTGCTGGCTCCCTGATGGAGCAGCCCCTGCCCCTACCAGGACTCCCACCAGCCTACCCTTTCCTGGGGTGCCTGACCACCCACCCAAAACTCACCATGGCCCTGCTGGGTGCCCCTTGGCCTCCAGCTCACTGGGTTCCCCAGCATCATTCCTCTGGGCACTTGACCTCAACTCCTGGACCCGTGCCCCCAGCTCCCGGGCCCGTTGCAGGCACGACTTGAGTTCAGAGGTGACTTTCGAGGGAACCTGTAGACACAGGGTGCTGTCAGCCAGCCAGTCACCCCATACCCCCCTCCCCAGCCCTCGGTCCAGCCTCCTCACCTTGTCCTCCTGGGGCGACAGTCTGGGAAGCTGACCTGCTGAAAGGGCAGCCTTCTTTGTCCTCTTGCTCGGAAAGGAGTGCTCCGGGGAGCCAGGGGCAGCTGGAGAGCCTGGGTCAGGGACCTGGGGGAAAGGACCCCCAAAAGTGAGCAAATGAGAAGACCCTGCGGTGTACTGGCTCTACAGAAAGGGTTTTCTGCTGCCCTCAGTCCAGCCTCTTGGAAGCACCCCCCCCCTTTAAGGGAGGGGCCTGGCCCACCCACCTGTTCCCTCTTCTCAGGACAGTTACCAAGGCCTGACCCCTGATCCAGCCTTGCAGAAGGGCCTGGATTTATGGGCCTACCCAGCTCTGGCCCTCCCCCAGCATGTCAGAGTCGCAGGCTCCCCTGCTCAAAGCTTACGGTGGCCACAGGACCCTGGCCTGGCAGCTCAGACTCAGCTCCTGCAAAGACGCTCAGCCTGTTCTCTCCGCCCAGGCCCCGACCCAGCCCTCCCGCCTGGGGCTCTGCAACCAGCCCCCAG